ACTACACTGCCAGTCCGGGTACGCATGGCGAGACCTTGAGACAGTCATGGTCGCGGCATATAAGATGATGTTGCTGATAGCGAAACGCATCAAGTAGTCCTAAATCCTCGACGAACAATGTGCATCCACCAGCTGTAGACACTCTTATAGAATGTGGTGAGTTGCGATTTAATGTCACAAGAAAATTGTAAGTTGCCTTTTTCGGAGAACAAACACTGCAACCAATCAATGACGTTGGCGAAACGTCGCGTAAACGATTCGAAGACTACCAGGTATTTCCAAGTCTGACTTGGCAAGGACGGTCCTGGCCTTTTTTTTTAAACACCTCGAATAACCTCCGTTTAGGTCCTGGCCGTGTCGCTGCGCTTCGTTATGACAGACCCTTCACATGAGAATGGGGTGGCGGTTCGCTCACCCCGCCAGTAGTCTAACAACCTGACTGAAGACCGCCATTGAGAGAGCCGCAATCAATCAGATGACAACAACGGCGAGGGGGAGCAGAGACTGCTCCCCTTTCGCGTTCACACACTATATACTGTAATGAGGAGTCTGATCGACTCCGAAATGTGATGAGCGAGTCCTATATCACTTCACAGCCGTGACCGGGGAAAGTTGCCCCTCAGCCATCCCAGCAAAGTCTCGCCAAACTCCTTCGATTTATCCAAATGTGCCCAATGTCCCGAATCTACCGCGACCTTGGTACAATCTGGCAACAACCCCGCCTTGATACTATCATCACACAATTCAGGTCGACAGACAACATCTCGCGATCCGCCGAAGAACAAATGCGGCACCTTGACCACATGATTCTCCCGAGGAACCATCGCATGCGCCTTATCCTGTGTCCCAAACGCCGCGGCGCGGTAGTAATTCAGCGGGCCTGCAAACCCACCACTGGACATATGTCGGAGCCACCTCTGGCGTCGTTCCTCCGTGGCATACGACATCACGGGCTGGCGCTTATCCGCGACGAGGTACCTTCGGATCCCGTCCTCCGCAGCTAATGTATCCAGCCATGTCTCTGGCTCACCATGAACAGAAGTCCACATTGACTCGAGGTGCGAGTCTGTGATTTCCACTGCGTCAGGAGCAATGAATAACTTCCAATACCACAGCATCCCGTAGCCGAAACGCTTAATGGAATACTTGAGCACCGTGTCGAGATCAAACGGTCGTGGTGAAGGTGCGGTGTATGCCACAGAAAGCAAAACCAGGCCGCAAACCCGGTCTGGGTGGAAGTTGTAGAAGCGCTGAGCAACAGGACTACCCTGCATTGCGGCGATGAGCACGCATCCTCGTCGACAATTCCATTGCAAAGAAGTGAGAAGGAGACATACCCAATCATGACCCGTGCTTACGACCTGGTCGACACCTTCCTCGTCCAAGATCTCCTTGATATCCTGCGCCATCAACTGGAAACTGTAAGCTTCGTGATCCAGCGGCTTCGAAGTGCCCCCATAACCTAAACAGTCTATCGCTATCACCCCGTAACCATTGGGGAGTAAATAGTCGCGGACCACGTCGGAGAATTCATCAGGCGAGTCCGGGAAGCCATGGACGAGGAGGAGTGTTTGGTGGCTAGGTCTCGCCTGGCGAGTGTAGTATGTGTAGGTCAAGCCTCGGGAGACGTTGAGCCTCTTTTGTTGGAGCTGGTCCATATCCGCGTTTATCCCGTTCCGTGCTATCTTGCAAGATAGACCTGGAAATAATGGTAGTAGGGAATGATATAAACACCTTGAGAGTTGAGTGACATTGAGATTACTAATCCCTGAGGTGCTGGCCTATACGAGTACGTCGTGGTCAAGTGGTTGGTATGATAGAAAATGGGCCGAGGTTAAATCCGATCTTGGACGAACTTCAGTATCAAACCTCACCATTGGCATCCATCATCTCTTATACAGTGCCGTGTCAAGAGTCTCCAACATCCGAGGCCAAGTGTCTTCATTTGTTCAGGAGACACCGCGTCAACTCAATCTTCCTCTTTACTCGGCTCGTATGTGCTAAACACCATACCCTCCGGCACATCCTTCCATTGCCCAGTCTTCGGATCCAACAGGATATCCTCGCAACTCTGCCACGTGCTCTTTATAAGCTCTGCATGACGCTCACTCCTAGGCTTGATAACCGCCGGAAACGCTTCCGGCAACACGAAGAGTCCTTGTGTCAACTTATCGATATCCGGGGTAATCAGATTACCCTGTGCATCCTTCGCCTTCTGGAAGTCAAACGCCCAGAGCATCCGTGCCATTGCCAGAAACAATGACCGTTCCGCAATATGCATCCCCTGACATACCCGGCGTCCTGCACCAAACACGAAATGGTCTCGTTTGCTGACGTCGGAGTTCGTCGCACATTCAAATTCACTGAGGAAGTCTTGAGCGTACCGGCCAGGATCGAAGCGCCTTGGGTCCAGATGTCGGCGCTCGTCCATATGAATAGCCCTGAGAAGAAAGCGTAAGTATGCCACCCCTGAAAAGCCAGGTATGTGAGAAACTCACCAGACATTCGAGATAATGCTCGAGCCAGCCGGAATCTTGTATCCCATGTACTCATCGTCCTTAATAACCGAGTGTGGCACTCCGAGGATGTTAGTTGGCATCCATCTCATGCTTTCCTTGACGCAGCCACGGATATATTGCATGTTGGGCGCGTCTTCCATGGTGGGCATCCGATCCGGTCCCACCACCCGGTCGATTTCCTCTTGTGCTTTCGTTTGCACCTCCGGGAAGACGACCATGGCCTGGATGAAGCCTATTAGTGTAGCAGCCGTGGTGTCTGAGCCTGCCTCAAGTAATGACCCGCTGGTGTATCCGGCCAAATCATCCGAGAATTTCTCAGTTTCCTGTGCTTTGACGAGATCGACGCAGAAACATGGCTATAAGGATGTGTCTTTAGCTGGGGTCGCTCAAGCGCTGGGTGATGGGGATGCTCACCTTGCCAGTCCCGTCCTTAATAGCCTTCTTTGCGTTTAACCAATGACCGACATAGAGTTTTTTCTCCTCCTTGTGAAGAGCCTCTGCGTATCGATAGTTCGGCACCAGGAATTTGGGCAGCTTCTGGAGGATCGGAAACAGATCAAGGACTTGCGCAGCAGCACTTCCAGTGACTTCTGCCCATTTCTCAAATCCCTGGTAGTATGTAAGTAGGTGCTTCTCACTGCATGCGAGTGGCTACCACTGACATGAAACAGTTGCTGCAATTTGGGATCATTGATGTCTAGAGTTCGAAAGCCAAAGACCATTTGTGTTGTGAGTGAGTTGGTATATCGCCGCATGTGGTTGGCAAATTCATCAGGCTGATTGAGTAATCCAAGCAGCATGAATTTGTTTTCGAGATCTTGGTAAGGCACATAAGTGACTGCAGCTTTGATATTAAGGATGTTGTGGATCATCTTATGTATCATTCTCCAGGTCGGTCCATATTGCTAGTCACGGTCAGATTCCGTAATTATGAGACTGGATCTTGAAGGGTTGACTGTACCATCAAAAGAACTCGCAACCCTCCACTGGCCAATGTCGAGCCGATAAACATGTCAGGCCTCGACGAATAGATGTTGCTTCGTTTGTCAAGGAGGTCTTTTACTGCCTCTGGCGAAGAGAGGACGATGAAGGTCTTGGTCCCAAGTATAACGGAGTACACTGGTCTGTGACTGGCATCAGACGCTGTCTCTGTGACCATGGGGAGGGGTCACCATACCCATATTCTTTGGCCCATTTTTGAAATTGAAGATGTCCATCCCGAGCAGGCATCTATTTCCACGAATATCAGTTGATGAGCATGGAGATAGGTATGTTTACGAGGGCTACCGACCAGGTGAAGGTTGCCCAAAATGGGGATTGTTGGAGGTCCTGGAGGTAACCCTGCAGGTCGCCGGCCTGTTTGAAGCAATTTGACGACGAGAAGGATAACGGTGGCTATGATAGCCACCGTGGCTGCGGTTGAGACTGCCATGCTGGGCGGGTATAAGTCGTATAGAAATGTAAGAAGCCACGCAGGGCAGTCGCAACCACGACGCATGGGAGGTATGCCTTATATTTGGTCGACAACTGTTTGGCCCCCCGCTACGTCAAGGCCCCCGGACAAACCCCAGGTCCCTGTGGAAGCACTGCTCGGCTCCGCTCGAGCCATACGCTGGCCACAATTGACGGCAGCAAGCCAATTGAAAATGGCTTTCGCTCGATGATCGCGCTTTCAGTGCATTTTGGCACGGTGCCAGGGGATATATCATCGTTCGCTCACGGTCGGCGGTTTGCTTACTGGACTGGTAAGCACGATGAAACTTACTATGCGGTTGGCCTTGGTGGTAGTTGGTTGGCATATGTTCCAACTGATCGAGATCAGTTCCAAGGTACCTCTCCCAGTAGGTTTCAAGGCTGCCAAAGATTTTGGTGCGTCATCCATAAATTAGCTATAGTTCGGCTCTCGCTTGTGACTCCAGGACAGTAGAACTAGGCCAACAACCTGTGATATCAGTGTGCGGGGAAACCCTGTACTCCATCTTATACCCAGGTATTGGAAGTTTAACCTGTCCTGATCATCATGGGACGACACCAGGGACACCTTGGCAACCCATCATTTCAGTGGGACCAACTCAGCGCGAACGGGAAGCGACAAGAGAGGTTTTGGGGGTTTCTCCGTATTTTTGATACCAATCACTTATCTGGTTTTCCAAGACTTCCCGGTTGGTGATCGTCCCGTATCAAAGATTTGGTCATTCATCGGTCGTTGATGCTCATATCGACGGCACCTCAAGACGTCTCCAGTCGCAAGTATTGTCCACAAGAAACACACAGGACACTGTATCGTCGTGAAGTGTGAATCAGATGATTTTTAGCAGACCATACAAATTAAAAGTCTTCGTCCATAGACCCAATGAAGGTTACGCATACTTCCGAGCCAATTAGATCAATGAAGTTCGGACGAATTTATTCGTATGATTATATATTATTCCTAAAATTTTGGTCAACAACTGATGACAAAGTCACGTGGGTACGTCATTTGTCGATTTAGCTCAGTTGGGAGAGCGTCAGACTGAAGTTTACTTCGGTTCAAAAATCTGAAGGTTTGTGTCCCACTTGATTGACTTCAATGCCTATATTGACTTTTCACCAGGTCCTGTGTTCAATCCACATAATCGACATTGTTTTTGGTGACTTAGGTCATTCTTTTTGCATGATGGCCCAGTGGCGGGTGTGTCTGACCAGGCTCCGACAATCCTTCGATATGAGAATCAAAATGTCACTTTCAGCATAATGTATGCGCTATAAAACTATCTCACCATGCCCACATCATCTTGTGTGCGAGGACTCTTTCACCCAGCCTCTCGTACAAAAAACTATTGACCCAGCTATCGTTTGTCCGGCTCATACGCCCAAACACCGCGCCACCCTTCCAAGCCACAACCTGGGGATCGAGTTCTCGGGGTGGCCGCGATAGGAGAATGTCCTTGCTATAACCGGGCAATATGCCCTTGAGTGTATCTTCTAGATGTCCAGGCAATCCGGGAATGATGCTCGTGCCACCAGTAAGCATGATGCTGCTCAACAGATCGCTGGTCTTCTGCGCAGAGCCTCTAGCTGCGTGTGTGACGGACGTGACAATCGCATTGGGAAGCGGATAAATTGGTAGGATGTCGTCGCGACGCTCAATACTGACGGGTTCCTCTTCCTCTTCTTCGGGTTTGGGCTTTTCTTGGACAACGGCGGCTTCACCGTCCTCAAGTTGAGGGGTGCCATCAAGTTGTCGTGCTGGAGAGCTGGCGGCGGAGGGCTGAGGTGTCGCGTCCATCTCTTTGATGTTACTAAATGAGGGACGCCGAGAGTCGTTGGCAGGCTCTTCCTTTGTCCCATTAGTATGACCGTTTGTGATGCCATTCGCTTTTGCGGCCTTCTTGATTGTGGAACTAATGACTTCTTCGGGCGCAATGGAGGTGAGAATTTCGGCTTGCGCAGTCGAGCTGGGGTCATTGGGCTTGCCATCGTATATGTCGTAAGACTTGTCGACAAGCTTTCGCCGGCCGTTGAGCTTGCCAGCGTCGTCAAAGATGGTGGGTTTGAACATTCCCATAGGCGCAAGAATGACTTCGTCATATATTTTGAACGTGTATTTCCTGGTTTCCTGGGTGGGTGCTCGAAGGTGGAAGTCGTAGAGTTGCACAGAAATGTCTGCCTCGGTCATCGTACAGAACTTCTGCTTGAGTTCTTCGGCAAGTTGGAAGTCATAGCGTCTGTTCAGGTTGAGTTCTGCGTAGGGGAAGTGGTTGTATATAACCATCTTCACAAAGGCCTCTGTGATATCTCGTCCTCCATACTTCAGGTTGACACGGGAGTTTTCGATAATCATTCCATCTTCGATACAAGAGACTGATGTCTTTTGTGCTCCAATGTCGACTATACAGCAGGTGGTGAAACCTGCGCCGAAAGACGAGGCCAAGCTCTCTTGGACAAAGCAGACCCGTCCAAAGCCAAAATCCGAGATCGCCATGTCGAGCAGAGTGGTCACATACGTTCTCTCGTAATAGTCGGGTATCACAACAACACAGCTGTACTGTGTCCGTTCTCCACGAGTCTGAATCTTCACCTCCAACTGCGATGTGATTGCATCCTCAATAATGATTCGGATATCCTCGTACAGCAGCTGCTTCGAGGCATAATCGCGCTCGTTGAACCACCCTAGCCGAATAGGCCAAAATAGCTTGTAACGAGGCGTTGACTTGTCGGGTATCCGTAGTGCAGCTCTTCCAGTAATGTAATCCGGAGGACGCTGTCCCGGCCCTGACGTCTCTGTCCAGTCGATTTGCATTGTGTCATTGTGCTCCGTTATTGTCTCGTATGTATTTCTCCTGTTGTAGCTGGTGACCATATCCCTTGATTGGGGCAACACCTTCCTCTTGTTCATTCGCATTCTCAGCTTGAGATCATTGGACATGCCCGTGAACTTTTTCTGGAACTCGTCACCATAACGTTTCTCAGGTTCGGAAGGAGGCAGTCCGTTGTCGAGTTTGGCTCTCTTTGGCGCTGGCTCGCCGTCCCCTTCTTCACTTTCTGCCTGAGGTGCTCGGCGTGCGATAACCATAGGGACTGTCTTCGGGAGGGCGTCGCTCGCAAGTCCAATCCTTAGATTTTGTGATCCAAGGTGGATAACGATGGTTTTAGCACCGCTTGCGGCCTCATCCTCAACTTCCTCCTCGCCCTCTTCCATTTCAATGTCTCCATCGGGTCCGACAGTCTTGCCCTGTGCCAGCGCTCGATCTCTGTCCTTGGCTTGTTTGACCATTTTACTCCGAGCCTCCTCCTGTTGTGTTCGGACCGCGAGGATTTGTTCATCGCGTTTGAGGTAGTCTGTTTTTCAATGTCAGCCTCGACCATCGCAGCTATTGACACATTTCATACCAGTATAATAGTTCTTCTGGTTGATAGGTATGATCTGGGGCCACGATGTCAATTCCATATTGTTGTCTGTTCTCTCGAGACCCTCCTCTCGAAGGAGGGCCTTGCCACTCTTTTTGCCAACCATATTGAATGCGCCGCGTGTATTTGACGAGACAACTTGCTAAGATCAAAGACTGGTTACAGGTATGCGCTCGCAGGTGGTATTAGCCTTCCGAATTGACCATGTCGAGGATCCTTGCAAGGATAATGGAATCCGAGTTCGTCTTATGCCACGGCGCTGTGGATTGCGCAGATGTGTCGGAGGTGAAAGGCTAGAGGGATTGCATCCGACTCCACGATTCAGTTGGTGTTGCGGCGCGTGGAGAATCTATTGACCATGGCACGCAGGCTTGAGAGGCTTACCTAAACTTGCGCCTGCCAAGGAGGACCCCGAGCACCTACTGACAGTACACTTCAACTTGCTGATTTCCTCCTCCCGCGACACAATTATCCGCATGTCTACAAGCTACCATGTATCAGCTAGATCTTACAATAGACTACAGTCTCAATCTGCCAAATGATAAGCAATCTAAGATTGCTGGATCAAGCAAAGTCAGAAGCAATGCAAGAATGCAGGTGAGTCGCGAGAACTGATTGTGTCGGTCCATCAAAACACCTCGATTCGGAGTCGGTCAAATCAGCCGTACCTCAGCAATGTCAAGCTAAGCGAGACACATGGAGAGGAGGTGCTCGTCCCTGACCAAGCTCACCAATATAGGTGACTAGCAAAAGCTTTCAACAGCATCTCAGCCCTGCAGATGTGGTTGCTCACATGGCCAGATTCTTGCTTGCGGTCAGGCTGAGCCCTGCATCAATAGCTCTGCTTTAGCGGCCAAATTACCTCGTATCCCTTCGAGACCAATCTTTCCTAATGTGGCCCTGGCTGCCATGTCCTGGGCATTTCGGGACTGGGGCCAGACGATATGGCGTGCCTCCTTTTGTTCAGCCTTGTCGAAGACGAAGTCGATATGAACAATCCGATTCTGTCACCATTTCAGTTGTAGGACCATGGGACATCTGAGCAAGACCATCATCGCTACCATAGGAGCACGTCTGGATATGTTTCCTTCTACAGCGATGCTGTCTGCGACGGCACTGTGTGAACCATGGGGAGGCATGGGTGGTCAACACCACGAGCCATGTCACTTAGGTGTAGTTTGGCGCCACACATGTCTGGAGAACGCTAGGAGATGCCACTAGCCAATTCCCCTGTCTCGAGGCCGGCCCCATGCTAAGACATATCGTCGATTCGGTTGTCTGCACGAACTCCGTGCGGCCGAAAGCATTCACATCTGATGGAGGGTCGTATAGGGCTATCCTGGACGTAGCCCGCGTATGAGTACTGTCCACCACCAGCATGGTGAAGGTGAGCGTACAAAATAAGGAGCCCGCCTCGCCGCAGCCCTATGATCCCATTCTTCGTTCACTGGAATTGAAAGCCTTGCCTGCCTCAACCACTGTAAGCAGCATCACTTCTCGACGAACACAGCGTCTGCAGAATCACTAATCTGCTCAGAAGCCTAGAGCCGATTATCTCAACAAGAATGGCTTTCAAGGAGATCTTTCACTTTGACGAGGAAGCATACAAACAAAAAGTGCATTGCTTCCCCAAAGATAAATGCTATCAAGAGCTTGCTCAGCGAGAAGTGTGCAAACGGCGACGCATCTACTCGACAGGAGTGAAAATCGTTTGTTGTAGCCTACTTCTCCTCCCTACCTGCGGTGGTACTGGTTTTGGCCTCTTCCTCGGATTTCGACAACGATCCATCGCCAAGAAGAAATACCACCATGTTGTCGAGGCGATGAGAGCGCATGGGTTTGCTCTTCCGGAACCAAAAAAGCGAGACAAGCTTGTTCCGCTTGCCATCAACGTATTCATCTACTCGCTCTCATTCGGTTTGATGTTTGGTCTTGAAGAGGCCGGCCTCATTGCAACAAACGAGATGGCAGCATACGGAGTGCAAAGCACGGGAAATATTGTTGACCCAAGCTTTCTTGGTGAAGCTCAGCAGTTTGTCGTCAATCCGGCTGATTTTGTGCATGGCGTGGTTCACGGGGCCGACACTCAAGTCTCAGAGCTGCATGGGCTGGCCACTCCGAACGAGACGATGATCCAGCATGTCATGGATCAACATCTGGAGCAGCCGATCTCCGAGACCAGTTATCAATACATGTCTGGCGAGACTGCTGGCTATCAGCTCGCACCGCATATCGAACAACTTGCCACGGTTACTCTTGCCTCCCAAGGCTTGGAGGCAATCGCAAAGCCTAGCATCACTCATCAGTTCAACCGCAAACCTGTTGCCACGAAGCGTATGACTATTGTGACGGAGACTGCCATCCCCATGGATGGAGACAAGATGGTCTACTGAATCGCGCATGTTATTGTTATCGTTTGATTGAGAAGCTCTTTTTCCTTTGCCAGTCTGAGTCTGCCGCAACTCAACGTGTAATGAAATCAATGTCAATTATTAGTCTGACCAAGCAATGTGAATATTCGTAAGTTCATATGTAAGTTGGATATGTTTAGATATTGTGATCGACTAAAGGGGCTTAACATAAGTGAGTTTCTACTTTCTCGACCTTGCGCTCCCTTCTCCCTTCTTGTAGGACCCAAGGCGATCCGGCCTCAACGACTTTCCACCTGATTGAAGGAGGTATTTTCCATTCCATTCCATTGCTCTTGTTACCAGAGAGTCGCGCGAAGGCG